GATAGGTGTGATAGTGACTATAGATAGATTGTGACTATATAGGATAGATTTTAATAATAAAGTGTTTTGAACATTCAACTGGTGTGACTATATAGTAGAATGTGACTATAACGGGAGTGACTATAGAGGGAGTTGACTGTATATTTTTAAGACAAATTTTAAAGAAATACAATGATTACAAGTTGTTCCTATAGGGATAATAATTCTAAGTTAAATGATTAAAATATAAAGAATAATATACAAGTGCATCTTAAAAGGACCCAGAAATATATATATAGGGGTAGGGTTTACCAATGCGTCGCCATCATAGTGGAGTTGGGCAGAGTAAGGTTTTGATTTGCGTATAATTTAGGATTTTTTTGTCCATAGTTAGGTCATCAGATTGCGTATTTTTTACCAAAATTTTTATATGTAAGAGATTTAGTTTGCATATTTTCGCCTATATTTGGCCGATCACATATATATATAGTATATCATGTACTTATTTGGCAAACTGCATTGTAATATTTACTTTAATTGAAATGTAAATCAACTGATTGCGACATTCTTGTTCTTTTTCAAAAAGAAAAAAAATTTTTCAGATTTTTTTATTCTAGTTTGTACATGTAAATAGTATGACAAATTGGAAATATAATTTTGAAAGACTTTCTAAACACAAATATGTTGCACATATTATACATCCCAAGAAAGTAATATGCATTTGTGGTAAAACAATAACACTCAACCGAAAATGGGAAGAAGATTATTTTTACCGTCATGTTCGGCTTTCTGGATGTAAAGCTGATGAAGGACAAAGGACACTTTATAATTGGTTTAAACCAAAAAAAGAGCGACAAATTGAAGAAGCTAAAGATGTTGATGAAGAAGAAGAATATGATTCTGACGTATATGATAATATGGATGATGATGATCTAATCCAAATTGATGAAATATTAAGCGAAGATCAAATGCAAGAATTATCAGCTATCGAAACTTTAAATATAAATGAAAAAAATACTAAAAAAAGATATTATTGTATTGGTCTCCGATCTGCAGAAATATCAAGATATATTCAGCGAACTCCTGCACAATTTGGTGGTTCTCGTCGTGTTGAGGTTATTGCACGTGAACTTTTTCCAAATTTATTTTCACAGAAATTTAGTAGGAAAAAATTGAATGCAAAACAAAAAAGGCTATTGAATCGTACATTATTTGCAGAATCTGTGTGGAAAATTGATCGAGCAAGTATGCATTATATTCTATTTGTCATAATTAATACATTATTATTAACAATCCTTTTAAATAAGGTAATGCTGTTCGTGCAAAAAGTTGTACTGGAATTTCTGGAAAAGATAATGTGTGTGCTGAATGCTTTGCTATTCGATACAATCAAATTTTATGCAATAAAATTGTTCGTCCCTCACCATTACCTATTAATGTCAAGTTTACTCCGAAACACTATTGGGAAGATAATCCTTTAAAATATTTTCTCCAAAATCTTGATCTTCGTGATATGTGGAATGTACTTAATAATGAATCAGAAAATGTACCAGAAAACCCATGGATTGTTCTTGCTGATAAGGCATTAAAAGGTGCTTTTAAGAATACACCAGCATTTACTGGTCTTTGTGAAGTAATGGGCAATGCAATTGAGAGAAAAATGAAAAACAAAAGCAAAAGAAATTTGAAATATAGTGAAGAGTTTACAAGTTTTCTAGTCATATTATGAGGATTTAGTACAAGGGCCTTGGATTTGTTTCGCCAAAATTTAGAAGGCAGAACGATTCAGTCAATCCGGTATATTAATTTTTAATTTTTTTTTTTAAACTCCAGTAAATAGCAAATTTATATATGGATACGTTAAGAAAATCATTTTATATGCATGTTGTTAATCTTACATAATTTTGATTTTAAATTTCATGTTTATAGACATTTGAGAAGGAATAGTGAAGACCATTTAACCAATCCAGATTTGTGTTTTGAAAATGTTGCTAGGTTTAAGCGGTTAATTGATTCAATTCAATATAATGGTCCAGTAGTAGTGATGACTGATAATACCAAGTTAAAATCTCGTCTTCGATATTCACCTACTTTTGGATGTATTATTGGATCCGTATTTCCTGTAGAAGAGACAAAAATTAATGTGTATGCTGATATTCCCAATATAATTAGTAAAATTAAAAATGAAAAGGCTATTGCTAAAGATGTTCGTGCTTACATGTTACAGGTATTATTAAAATGTTTAAATTTTATTCTTTTAAATTTAATAAGAAAATTAATTTAATATTCTAATGGTAATAGATTCCTTTACCAAAATTTCCTCCTATCGCCGTCGTATTAATACCAAATAAAGGAAATGATAATTCAAAAACTATTAGTCAATTGCATAAGAAGCTTATTCAAGAAATTGCTTTTCAGCTTGAAATCCATATATTATCCATTGGTTCTGATGGTGCTATTACTGAATTTCAAGCACAACAATCAATAATAGATATTCAAACTTCCCAAAGACTTTTTATTCGTGAACCAACATTAAATATTAATTTTTCCTGCCCCATTTTTGATAAGATTGGTCCAGTAGTTCGGGTTCAAGACCCAAAACACGCAAAAAAAACTGCAAGAAATGCGATAATATCTGGAGCTCTGCTTTTAACTTTTGGAATATCTTCAGTCCGATATGATCATCTTCTTACTTTAATTAAACAGCACGATTCAATTATGTACAAAAATGATGTAATCAAATTAGATAAGCAAGACGATGCTGCTGCTTATCGAACTTTTTGTTCTGCAAATTTTAAGCAATGTCTTACACATGATTTTCAAGTAAAAGTAGGAATGTAAGGAACTATAATATATTTATTTATCATGGGTACGTAATATTAAACAAATTAAATTAAAATTGATAATTAATATTATTTAAATTAATTTTTATTTTAAATTAATTAATTTTTTAACTTTTCATAATTAGGAGAAATTGTAGATTGCTATTTAAATCGTACTATTTCACCAATTGAAAGAGTACGTATGGCAATGACAGGTTACTTTTTTCTTCATTTATGGCGCTTTCACATTACAACTCTACACCAAAAATATCTTGACTTTGTATCTATTAAACAAAATTTCCTGGCCGACCAAAGTTTTGCTATTTTTTCTTCTCTCTGTGAATCAATGGTATTACTTGTAAAATCTCATCGAGACTATTATTCTCAAGTACCTTTTCTTCCTTGGTTGCATTGATCAGAGTCATGCGAGCATTTCTTTGGTGTAGCAAGGTAGATAAATCCGGACTTTGATTTTGCTGAACTTATTCAAATGTTGCCTAAGATTTCACAATACACAAAAGCTCTACGGAATGGAAAGTTAAATTTTGATAAGGAAAGATCAGTACGTGAGGGTATATATATTTAACTATAATTAGTATTATAATTCTAATTATTAATAATAATAACTGAAAAAAAAAATTTTTAGGCTACCTTTTTGACTATACTTCTGAATTGGATAAGCTATCTTTAGAAAAACTTCGCTTATGGCCTAATGACAAGCAAATATCAGATACTATTCATCATTCATATCTTCTCGCTCAAGATCTTGCAGAATATGTTGGCATGATTCAACCATTTGATATCTCTGTTGATATTGATACCTCACAGATCCTTATTGAATCACATGAAATTGATATTTCAAGTTTTGATGTTGACAAGCAATCCCATGATAATAATGATGATGAATACGATTTATCAACTGCTATTGGTGAGGCTTCTTTAGAAATGAAACAAATTGCTGAAACTAGTGATGATAATGGGTGTGAATTCAATGATGATTTTACTGAAGGCCGTTCACAGTTGGATGGAATTGTTAAGCCTCCTGAAAATTTGTATATTTTAAATGATGGGGATAGTGGTAAGCTTTATATTAACAATGAATATAAAAATTATATTTATATTACATTTAATATTAATATTACCATATTTACTACAGTTGATTTATCATGTCGGTATTTATCCTTCAATAAATTGGATTTTGAATTCTTGTATAATCAGCGAAAATTCCATGAATCATATAGTTCAAGACCTCTTGAACGAAAATTTAAAATTGTTGGAGCAAATTCAAGAATAATAACAGAAGATCCAAATTCAATTCAACCAAATATGGCCAGTCATTTTGTTGCATATTTCATTAAAAATGAAAATCCAGAACAAAGATTCATAACTCAAAGGGAAAAATGATGGAAGGATAATCGAAAAAATATTGCTACAACATTAGCACAGTTACACGATCAAGAATTAGCCAAATCTAAAAATGGAAAGAAATTAAATAAAAAAAATGTCCAAGAAAGTTTAATTAAAAGTAAGTTTTTTATATTAGTTTATTAAAGAAATTTATGTTTAAACTATTAACATACATTTTAAAAATAGTTCCAAATATTGAAACTGCAAATATAACTGAAGATTTTCCATTAATAAAGGGAGATTATTTATTTGTTCGATATGGTTCTCAGATGTGCATCGGACGAGTAGAAGCTTTATATTTTGAGGCTTATAATCACCATTGTTATACTGATATGCCTATTAAGGATTTGAACGATATTTCATATATTTCATTACATGTATTTGTTCCTTTACATTTAGAATTATTTACCGATATGGTTAAAGAGGGTTGTTATATACTCACACATCATATTCCTTCAAACATTATATATCATATTAAACAGAATAGAGTAGTAATTTAAGGAAATTTTCTAAGATTAGTTGGAGATGGAAAACAATATTATTTTGATTATTTTGGCAGAAAAGATATTATTGAAAAAATGGTAAAATAGGTTGTTTTTGTAAATGATAAAATTCGTAATACAATAAATCATGTGATCTTGAGGTCTGAAATTTTATTTGCGTATTTTTGCAGGATTTTCAATATCAGGTGTCAATTTTGCGTACCGTTCATATAAAAAACCCTTGCGTACAGCTCATAGTAAATTTTTTTTTCGCCACCTGACCCCTATATGTATATTTCTGGGTCCTATCTTAAACTACTGAAAAAAAAAAATATGAAATAAAAATTAACTTATATTCACCTAAATATATATAGTAACTTAATTTAATAATTAACACTGGTCAAAATCAATGTTATCGGGTACATATCAGATACTGATATGTATGCAATATATGTGATATTATTTAACAATACTACATTTATTTATTTATTTATTTTATGTGAAGTCGGGAGGGAATACAAAATGGGCATGATTCCGCAGTAATACAACCCAACTAAATCCTACCATCGAATTCCAGAGGAGCCGGAACCCAATCTTAACTTCTTGAAAAAAAAGACCTGTACTACTACTACGTCCGATAAAAGTCCAGGCGAACATACTGGGTAAAAGAAAAAAAAGTGGAGAGGACAAGTTCTCTTTCTGAGAAATTTGTGGTACGACACATAAATATATTCTATCCTAAAAATAATATAATTCTGAAATTCGTAGAACTGCTAATAAAAGCGTAGGCTAAACTAGTTTCTGTAATAAAGTCAAAATTTCTGCTAAAACCGCCTTGTTATCTTTATTATTACCCTTTTTCTTTGAGGAATTCTTTGCCTTCTTCTGAGTATTCAGGTGTTTCTTCTTCTGGTTATTATTTTTAGAGACTTCTTTCGAGGATGAAGGTGTATCCTTTTTCTTAGGCTGATTATGATCCAAATTCTTATCAGACTTACCTGACATTTTTGCATTCGGTGTATTTTTAGCCTTCGGTTTACTTTGTGCTTTCTTCAAGGTAGGAATGGAGTGTCGACACCATTTCAACTCCTTACCATCAGGTACGAAAAACNGACACCATTTCAACTCCTTACCATCAGGTACGAAAAACTGTGGCGTATCTAAGGCCCTTAGTGTGGTCTCCCAATTCTCGAAATAGGCTACAAGTTTCCTCCTTCCTTTACTTGTTTGTATAATTTTAAATGAGCTAGCACCGCACTTCATTAAAAATTCACATGGTTTACGGTTCATCCACAAGGTAGCCATCATCATATCCTCTGAAATGTTATGAATAACGGCTTGGAACTTTTCACGTTGTTTTCTTTTTCGTAAGGTCCAACTTGCAGGGAACCATCTAACGGGTATACCTCCCAGGTCTGTTGTTTAATATTTGTTAAACTGGGGAAGGCTAAAGGAGGAAAGTGCTATTTTAACTCGAAGAGTCTGGTACTTATGTTGCCGTTTAATAGAACATTTAATAGCGTTCCCCCAAAGTTTTAACTCTGCTAGTATTTTCTGCAGGTTCCAGGTATACAAAATATCGTAAACTATTATGTCTCAGATTCGCTCAAGCTCCTTTCCGACAGCTTCGTATCCTGTCAGTATCTGTATAGCTTCCAGTTTGGATGATTTCTTTCCCTTATGGGAATTTTTGGCTGATGTTTTCACAACAGGTTTTGCCTTTGTTGATTGGTTTGCGACTTGTTTATCATCTGTAACACGCGCCTTTTGTTTATCTTTCTTCCGGGAATTTTCGGGTATCACAGTTTGATCAATAGGGGGTCATTACTATATCAGGCATTGATAGAAGCTTGATAGGTACTGGATCTGGTGGTTTTTGGAATCCTTGGCGTATTAGATCATCTACATTTTGCTCAAGAAACGGTGACGCATCCATTAGGTAATCATCAGTATCCTGAGATTCCCTATCTTCATCGTCATCATCATCGCCCGTATCGCCAAAATTGCAATAGAATTGGGTAGAAAAATTATCCCAAGACTTGGACGCAGCATATAGCGCTATAGAAAATATTAGCGAAAGGTGGTGGGTTGTATATTCTTAGCTTGAGCTTGAGTAGTGAAGTTCGCGGGGTTGGCTGAGTCGCCAAACCTTTCTATCAGTATCTGGACTTTATCTTTAGGTACTGAGGGGTTTTTTTCAAATAAGTCCTTGAGGAAACCGTCCTGTACAAAAGAACTTAAGTGATATGTAACGGTGTTAAAATAATGTTCGTTAAATTTGGAAACGAAGTCTAAAGCTGCGGTGTTCGACTCTTATCCATAGACATTTTTATATTTATGTAATAAAATTTAATAAAGGAAATTATTTTTTTAAAAAAAATTATTACGCAGAAATTTTCATAAAAAATGTATTTGGGAAAGAGTTCTTATTTAACAATACTACATATATCGGTGCCCAATAAGTATAGTAGAAATGTAGAAAATCGGTGACATATATTGTAAACATTATGTATATATCTTATACATATCAGGTAGTCAAATATCAGTCACATATCATAGATTTATCAGATACCCGATATATTATAGTAAAATATCATCAGGATCATTGTACTTTCTCTCCCGTTAGGCTTTGCCCATTTTTTCCTAAGCAGATATGAATGAAAAATATGAGGATTTTTTGCCTTGAGTGATAGTAAAAGGACTTTTGGATGTTATATGAAGTTATTACCGAGGTCTTTAGTTTCGCCTGAACTCCTTACGGCTTATATTGAGTTAGGACCATTATCATGAGTCTTAATAATAATTTAAGATGGCAGTTCCATACAAACGTTCTCCTGGGCTTTCTGAAAGGTTGAAAAGTAGTGTGTCTTGGTTCCTATGCCTTTAAAGTCTAACTGGCCAAGTGGTTCGCAGGCCGGACTGTTATTTCTTGGAAGAAGCTCCTAACTAACGTATTTTTTGTTAGTTAATGTTGTTAACGGGAGAGTTAGTCTTCTAAAATAAGGAGACAGAGTTGAGGTGTATGTTTGGTGATTTTTACTCAAGTTTTTCTTATTGCACTTCGAGTTTTCCTGAGGTTTGTTTTTATTTTTTGCTTTTTATTTTTCTTGGTCATTTTTTTTGGTGTAACCTTATTTTCTTTGGGAGTGAGGGATACTGGAAAATTTGATCGTCATGGTAGTTTGGTGTTACAATTTCAAAATTGATGATCACTCAGGTGATAAGGAGAGTGACAGGTTGGGTACCGCAATTTTTGTAGTATGCTGATCAAAATGGTCACATGTTGGACTATCATTGGATTGACTTATCTAGGTAGATCTTAAGTCGAAGGATTGTTCGCAATGAGGTGGGTGTCCTCCGTTTGGGATCATTTGGAATGAGATGGGTAAAGCTCCGAACGGGTCGGTTTGGTCCGGATTATAGACGGTTCGGATTAGAGCCGAAATCCGTAAGAACTGAACCGAAAAACCGGCGGTTCGGTTCGGTTTAATCCGATTTTTATAAAAATGCGAAAAATCGAATAGCCGGCCATCTAGTGATCGTATAAAGTCGAGCCATATATCATTGGATTCGTCTCGACAAGGCGCGTCGAATGG